CTGCAGACCCTCAGGGCCCTCAGGGCAGTCAAGGGCATCCAGCTGGGGCTCTTCACCAGCCCCTCCAGCCTCAGCTGGAGCAACACATCAGCCGCTCTGTCTCTGCACAAGAGGCAGACAGAGAAGCAGCCAAAACCAACAGTGAGACTGAAGAAGCAAATGGGCAGCTGGCCTCCTGGAGTTGTGGTGCTCCATCACTGGAAGTTTTCACCGGAGATTGGACTCCCGTTTGTCTGGGATGGCCTGAGGACTCCTGCCTTGGGAGCAGGTTGGACTAGAAAAAACCCCAAGATCCCTTCCAACCCAATGGGTCTAAAGTGTGGGATCTGCTCCCCTCCAAAACATCTCAAGCAAAACACCGGGCAGCCCAAGAAGCCAGAAAGAGGCGTTCTCTCCCGCCTACGGTGGAAGGGCTGCTCCAGCCATTGTGGAGGACAGGCAGGCAGGCAGGCGACTAGCAGATGATCGGGAACCCCGACTTGCGGTCAGGAGACACAATGAAACCTCCCCAATTCCGTAAAACGTGGACAGACTCAAATCGTAGTTTCAACTGGGGAGCTATGAGAATCCTAGACCAAGTTAATTGAAAAACAATAGGGGATTTTCTGGAAGTTTGGCCCTCCGTCACCCAGAGACACATGGAGATAAATCACATTTGCACACCATTCAAACAAGGGATTCTTTTTTTAAAAAAAGCTAAGAAGGACATAGAAAGACCACCAGAATACACCTTCTCCAGCATTGCCTATGGAGATTGTCCCGGTCCTGAAGCTTCTTGGATGAGAAGAGAAACATTTTCAATGGGGGAAATACAGGACAGTCCCATTGCCTTCTGGGAAAAGCACCTCTGGGACTTCCCCAACAGCCAACACCCAGATAAGCAGGGATTAACACCAAACAAACAATCGAGCAGAAAACGGTGCCCTAATGCAGGAGCTACCAAGGAGACAACCGACGCTGGCAGGACAAGGCCCTAAATCAGGGGTGTCCAACCTTGGCAACTTTAAGACTTGTGGA